CGATTAAAGTTAGGGATTCGATTTAGAGTTTTCATCACGAAATGACATCAGCTATAATGCCAAAACTCTAATTAGCCAAATCGATGATTGAATTTCGCGCCAAACTTTGAGACCCGTTATCGTATACATGATTGGTTCGTCCATAGATTATAGTCTTTCCATGACTCCTTTGTACTTGATTGCTAGTTGATTATGAATTCCAAATACAAAACGTTCATTTGTGCTGATCTAGTTTTGTTTCTATCTTCTACACAAATACAGGCATAAAGCCATATGGGTCCCACCGGATAACATCACATAACCACATCGATCATATTTGAATCACTAACTAATTCGGGAAGTCAATGGAAGTTGTGAGATCAAAGAGAGGGACTGACATAGCTGCAGATCACCACCTGTTTGTTGTCAAGATGAAACTAAAGCTAAAGAAACACTGGACAAACAGCACTACAAAGTCTCAATACATTCTTCCTTCGAGATACTGACAGGCTCAACGAATTTAAGGTACATCTGAACAACAGGTTCTAAGCCTTACAAAATCTACTCAAGGAAAAAGAAACTTCTATGAAGGTCAATTGGCAAAGGATCAAGGATGCACTAGTTTCAACGTGTCAGGAGGTTCTGGGCCTCAGGAACCATCATCATAAGGAATGGATCCATATCAAAACCCTGGACAAGATTCAATAAAAAAAGAAGACAGCAATTGACAACATCCTATCAGGGCCGTTCAAAGACAATAAGGGCAAGTCAGTCACTGAAATTCAGGAACATAGGAGAAGTTGAGTATATCACTCCTACTGAAACCACGGAACATCGATGAAGTACACGCGGAAATACCTATAGGTGTCACTCCACCAGTGATTGAAGAAATTACCAAGGTCATCAGACAAATGAGGAATGTAAAAGTAGCAGCAAATTACAATATACTATCTGGAGCACTAAAGTCAAGCATACGAGCAACTGCAAAGATGTTCCACAAGTACCATCAACAGATTGGAAAGAAGGATGCCTAATCAAAATACCAAAGAAAGGATATCTGAGCAAACGTGAAGACTACAGAGGCATCACACTGCTCTCAGTGCCAAGAGACATCTTCAGCAGTGTTACTGAACTGGATGAAAGATTAAGTAGATGTCCAGCTTACAGATCAGAAGATCGGATTTCCTATGGATCGGTTGTGCACAGCCAAAATGGTGACACTACGGATCATTGTTGAATAATCACTTAGTGAAATTCGTCATTGTACATCAACTTCCTTGACAAGAAGGAAGCGTTTGAAACAGTGAATAGGAGTATATTATGGGACCTTCAACTTTAGTGTGAGTAGTAGAGAAAATAGTTAACATCCTTTGGAATTCATACTGCAAAGTCGTTCACGGAGGACAGCTGACTAATTCATCCTAAGTAAAGACTGGTATTGTGGTGTGTGTTACTTATATTGATATAAATAGTATGTGACGCGAGTTAAAAACGTACTGTCTGGCAGCAGAATTTGGGGAACGATCAATAAAGGAAGAGCGGGAACACAATGCAATTTGCATATGAACGATTTGCTATATGGTTTTTCTATTTTACCAAGTAACTCTGTAATTTTGTGCTAAATACAATTCGGTTGTCCCCACCCGTGTTATGTTCACTACAGTATCAGATAAGGCTGTTTACTCTCTCTCTTTCTCTTCTGGTGATTTATTGGTTAATGAAAACTTTCACATTTCAGTAAAAGCATGGATTACAATGGGTAGCTTGGATGGAACTAGACGATTTGAACTTCGCAAATCACCTAGCCTTCTATCCTATACACACAAACATATACAGGTCATGACAACCAGTTTGGTAAAAGCCCCTGCATCACTAAGCTGGACATAAAAAAAGGGGAAAAGCAAGATCTAGAAACAAAACACAGAGAACATTGATCAAATCATACTTGACGGGGAAACTCTGAAAGAGGTGGAATCTTTCACATAACTGATGACAATCATCGATGAACAAGGTGGATTCACTGCAGATGTCAAGGTAATGATTGTCAAAGTAATGGCAGAATTCTTACAGTTGAAGAACATGTGGAGCCTAAAATGACTGTCAGCCAACATCAATGGCACAATCTTCAACACGGACGTCAAGAGAGTCCTACTTGGAGAACTACCACAATCATCATAAAAAAGTATACTTATTTGTAAACAATTGTCTACGCAAGATAATCAATTTCCATTGACTGGATACCATCAGCAATAACTTACTATGGAAGAGAACAAACCAGCTTCCAGCTGAGGAGGAAATTATGAAAAAGTGATGGAGATGGGTAAAATATACATTTTGGAAGTCATCAAACTACATCACGAGGCAAGCATTCACTTGGAATCCTGAAGGCAAAGAGAAATAAGGGAGACGAAAGAACACACTGCACCGGGAATCCGAAGCTGACATCAAAAGGATGAATAACAACTAGAAACAAATGGAAAGGAGATTGGAGTACAGATTTGGATGGAGAATGCTGGTGGGCGATCTATGCTCGTCAACGAGGGTTAACAGGAGCAATCAAGTAAGTTATGTCTGGCTTAAATTGCACTGTTTCAGGAACTTCTGGTTAGTAAATTGATTCGAATACTTCTAAACTTCACATGTATATTCGGTTCCAAAGGTTTTGCATTTGAGAATCAATACCAATACAAGTTTACTGTTTCTGGAGACTTAGTAGAGCCTGTTAGGCGATAACCTTAGTTTAGAGTTTTTCAGGTCGCGTTTACTCAGTATTCGAGTCTGCCACTTTGATACTTTTCATCTGGGAATTCATAAAATGTAATCATTTCCAGGCCAGAAGCATTATATTATCAGTCTCTAGACTATGACACTAAGCCTATCTCAAAGAGAAAAAATTGATGGAAAGTTCGTCGTTTTCTGATCATTTAAGGTAATTTTAATCCCATCCACATGAACTGCTATCGCTAACGTCCGTTCTAAAGTGAACACAGTGTAAGATTACTACTTATGGTTCTAAGTCTCAGTTAATCATCAACAGCTTCCTGTCAACGTAGGAGTAAATGTAAAAGTTTGCACACTGGTTGCACACAATCTGACTGTCAACGGGAAACACAATCATGAAGCATAGTAATCTTTTTGATAGTCTTTGAAATTATTATATTTATTAGATGAGGCAACCCATCCTTCTAGTTTCCTACTAAACCAAAAATTTTGAACAAATGAATACAAATGTCAAAAATTTGCAACTAATTCCTACACCAATAAAATATCAGTGACAAAGCAATTTATTCGATTTCCGTTTAAATTATTTCTTATTGGTTCACATAACAGTTTATTTTGTTCCAGCATACAAAGTTTTTGTAAACTTTTAACATCGACTTGTGGGAAGTAAACAGGTTCTAAACTTGAGTTTATTCAGTTCAATTACGTGAAGAAGTGTTTTTAAATAATCAGTATGAGGATTTGTGAAAATTGTAGTATTTTAACCATTGGGACTCCTCAGAGGTGCTCACCCACGACTCCATACACTGGGCTCGAACCCAGGATTTTCGGTCTCACATGAGAACGCTTAAAATTAAGACCACTGAGCCGGTATCCAGCGGTATTAATATCTAACTTCAATCGATCCATGATATTGTGTAACCTTTCATCCACTGTCTGAGGTGGATAACTGTCTCAAACCCGACACGGATTTGGTTACACTGGTTACGGCTTCTCACTAGAACTCCGGGAAATCCATCTTGAAGCTGGTCACTAGTAAGCGCATGATTGCTATAAGTGTAGGGATTTGTGGAGATTGTGTTAAGACTGCATAAGATCATGGATTGACTGAAGTTAGACATCAACACTGTTCGATGCCGACTCAGTGGTCTAGAGGTTAAGCGTTCGCATGTGATACCTAGGGTCCTGAGTTTGAACCCCGTGTGCAGAGTCGTGGGTAAGCACTTTTGAGGAGTCCTGTACTCCGACAGAACAACCGTCTAGTGCTTCCAAGTTATCACTGGTGGTCTATCTTAGATGGACTTGTGAATTCAACTTTTTGAATAACATAAATTGGCGAAGTTTGATTAATATACTTTTCTACTTGATTCAAATTCCTAATTAAAAAAATTTACTCTACGAATAATTATATTTCCTTTTTTTGTGAACATTAATTATGAGTGTACTATGAAAATGTACCATTTAATACGAATAAAATGATACGAACATAATTACATGACATAATTATCTATAAAATTAGTTTATGAAAGGTGAAAGGATTATCAGTAGTCAGATAACACAATATCAATGAAAAGTAACGCCAATAATTCACTTGTTTTTCGTTTAAGATATGATAAATTGAAAAAAAGTTAATGATTATTATTATGCGTAGAATCTTAAAAATTGTATAAACTATTCTGCCCAATACATACGAGAACTCCGGTCATAAAATAACTATTTATATAGTTCTTTTATATAACTATTATCTTATTTAAAATACTAATTTGTAGCACTACATTTATGTCTTTATTGTGATTAAAGTACTTGGAATTTTCCAGAAGTCATGATTTCTAACTAACCAATCAACAATAAAATTCTGGTGAAACTTGAAAAGAAATGCTCAGGAATTTTATGAAATGTTGAGTGCTGTTTTTGATAACAGTGAGCTGAAGGAAATAGGCCTTTCAAGTAAATCAAGAACTTCATCAAAGATGATGAAAACTGAATGAAAAATATGCAGTCATGGAAACTTTAAAAATAGTAATAAAAGAGCCCGGTTTTCAGGTATTCGAAGGATATTTTGAAATTTGAGAATAAGTGCATGGTTACTGTCACAAATATGGCATATTATTAGATGATGTACCGTAATTATCATAAAACAATGTTCTTATAATAGCGAATATTTTAAACCTTGTAGTATTAGTAGTTTTTGTGATTGTAGATTATTGTATTCGGATAAACGAAAGCAACAAATTTTCCGGTATTAAATAAAGAATCACCTCAACACCTTACTATTTATTTAAATAATTTAACAGGTGTATCTATAGCTTCGGTACACTTGCCATAGTTGCTACGCCACACATGTTATTATGATTACGACGGATTCTTACATAACCATCCTCTCCCCATGATGTCCCCCAACTATTTTTAATAATCCAGTATTGTATACCATTTTCTTCTCCATATCCAACAATCAGAACTGCATGATTAACTTCTGTAGACGAACAAGACTGGGATTGATATATGCCGTTCCTAAAAAGAGATAAAAATTACCTCTTTAATAGACGTTAATTAAAAATAATTTATCAAAGTCCTGCTGAACTTTAAATTAAAAAATCGACTGTGTTTCCTTTTTCAATTACCTAAGATTCCCAAAGTAATATATTGATTGTAATTTTCAGTTTATTTTTCAAGAAAGTAGAGCAGTAACGCATTATGGGTCGTACATGACGATGATAACGTCATTTTTAAACAAACAATCATATCGTTCTCACTCTTATTGATCATGCGTTCTCATTGAATTTAATGAAGATAGTTATGCTTATATTGTCCGAATTAGGGAAATAACTGAGTCTCTTGGTAAAATATGATATCCACACACTGAATATTTCATCTGCAAACTTCCATCACATGTCCTTCATATTCCGTATGGTTCTTCCAGTCCATAATTCGTTTATATTTCCCTTTATGTTCTCTTAAACTCGATCATCTTAGCCTTCTGATTCTAGGTTTTCCACTTCGGATTAGTGTTACATACTGCCCCCGGACGCCCTGGTACGGCCGAGAGTGGGGAGAGTCCGCTCTCCCTCTCGAAATACTCTCTCACGGCCGCGCGTATACAGCCTCTGACAGGGAAGTCCTACTCATTGCCTTCTCGTGGCGGGGGTGTTGTTTACGAAAATGAGAGGACGAAAAGCGAATATCCGGCGCTTTAACCGGATCACAAACCAATGGTGCACATGGGCTCCAGTATCCTGCGGGAACAAATGGCGTATGAACCAATAGTTGGTCACCGGCTACCATGGGATTGCATCTCCTTACGATGCTCCACTGCCTTGTGGGTTAGACCATTAGGTCAAAAGATCGGGGTGTGGCCCCCTAAGAAAACCACCTGCTTCGGTTTGGGCACTCGGGCAGTATCACAGCCCACACACAAATGATGAACTCTTTATGTCTATGGAAATTACCTTTCTCGCTTCGAAAAACAATAAATTGATTCAAATAATTATCATTACTATTATTGTCATTATTAATATTATTATTATTATTATTATTATTATTATTATTATTATTTTCCACATTATTCACCCTCTTTTATACTTATTTAGCGGCTCGTCTTTGGTGGAAATTCGACTGTATCTAAACGTTCTCGAGTCACTGTCCGGTTGAAAATTGTATGTTACCACGGAATACGAGAACTGAAGCAGTTTTTCTGAAACCACGTGCACCATTCAAACTGACTGCCTTCAACGTTCGCACACTAATGCAGGTCGGACAACAGATAGGGCTGGCTATGTCTTTGGAAAGTCTTAATATTGATGTTTGTTGTCTATCCGAGACCCGTATTCAAGACTCTGGTGAAGTACTACAAATTCGATCTCCATCTGTCGCCTCGAAAAGCTTGTTTTACGTGCGCTTATCCGGGGACCCTGTGGCATCTTCGTCTGGTCTTGCTGGCGTTGGTGTCGCACTAAGCGCTAGAGCTGAGGCAGCACTAGTCGATTGGATCCCCATTAACAGTCGGTTATGTGTTGTTAGATTAGAGAGTTCCATCAAATTGAGAAGAAATCGGCGTGAGAAACGATGTCTTTCGTCATCTCCTCCTATGCCCCGACAGATCGCAGCCCGGATGCAATCAAGGATGAGTTTTACCACCATTTGTCTGTTCTTCTCCAGAAAGTGCGTTCGACAGATATTGTAGTACTAGCCGGATACTTGAATACTCAGGTCGGGCGTCTAGGCGCAGAAGAGAATCGTTTAGGTGGTCGATGGGGACTCGTTGGTCGCAGGTCAGATAACGGGGACCGTCTACTGCAACTTTGCACAGACCACAACCTGTTTCTGGCTAGCACTAACATTCGGCTAGCTACCATTCCACCGAAAAGTATAGATGAGCGTTGGTTGCAATTGCATGACGCCATGAAAATGGCGGGAACAGTCAGATGTGGGTTCGCAAAACGTTCCGCTTATAAGAACTGGGTTACTTCAGGCTCCTTATAACTCATAAGGAAATTGGGCAAAGCTTGCGTAAGGACCGAGAAGCCTGGTGGTCGGAGCGTGCTAATGAGCTGGAAGTAGCAGCTGCATCTGGTAACTACCGGAAGCTCTTCCAGCTCAACCGACCCAAGATGTCTAGTATGAGTGAAACAATCTGCGAGGATGACGAGATGCTAATTACCAACATCCATCGACGTCTTGGACGATGGGCAGAATTTTTCGAAGGGCAAGTCAACTGGCCTGCTGCTCCGGCAGCATCGGTCGGACTGCCCTGCCCTCCATGGCCGGTGACGACTGATCCACCAAATGAGGAGGAAGTCCGAAAGGAACTCCAACTCTTGAAGCGCTACAAATCACCTGGCCCAGATGACTTACCTCCGGCTCTTTTCAAAGATGATGGTGACTTTCTGACTAAGGAACTGACGACGTTGTTTACAAAAGTCTGGGAACTAGAGAGTGTACCAACGTCATGGAATGAGTCGATAGTTGTCCCTATCTTTAAAAAGGGTTCACGTCGTTCCTGCAACAACTATCGGGGGATAAGAATACCTCCGATTGCGTCCAAGCTATTGGCTTCCGTCATACTTCGTAGGTTGTGCAAAACCCGACAAAGATTGACTCGCGAGGAGCAGGCTGGGTTTCGTCCTGGTCGATGTGCCGATGTGCCACCTGGTGTCCTCCCTCAGCATCCCAAGCCTGGACTCAGATTGATCACAGCGTAACCAGCTACCGCTGGCATGGTTGTGTAAAAGACTGCCGCTCCTTTTGGAGTACCTATCTGGACTCTGACCATGCCTTGGTCTGCGCCAATCTTGCCTTACTTTTCAGTGGACGACGAAGTAACCGCCAGCAAAGGATTGATATTAGCAAGCTGGTTGCAACTTCTGTTGCAAATAAGTATCGAACCGAGCTAGCCTCTAGGCTAGCTACCACTCCACCGAAAAGTATAGATGAGCATTGGTTGCATTGGCATGACGCCATGAAAATGGCGGGTACAGTCAGTTGTGGATTTTCGAAACGTCCCGCTTATAAGCACTGGGTTTCTTCTGGTTCCTTACAACTTGTTGTAGCCCGTCGGTCTACTCCGGGTGACCGTGAGTTTGACCATAAACGAAGGATGTTACGTAAGGAAATTGGGCAAAGCTTGCGAAAGGACCGAGAAGCCTGGTGGTCGGAGCGTTCTAATGAGCTGGAAGTAGCAGCTGCATCTGGTAACTACCGGAAGCTCTTCCAGCTCAACCGACCCAAGATGTCTAGTATGAGTGAAACAATCTGCGAGGATGACGAGATGCTAATTACCAACATCCATCGACGTCTTGGACGATGGGCAGAATTTTTCGAAGGGCAAGTCAACTGGCCTGCTGCTACGGCAACATCGGTCAGACTGTCCTACCCTTCATGGCCGGTGACGACTGATCCACCAAATGAGGAGGAAGTCCGAAAGGAACTCCAACTCTTGAAGCGCTACAAATCACCTGGCCCAGATGACTTACCTCCGGCTCTTTTCAAAGATGATGGTGACTTTCTGACTAAGGAACTGACGACGTTGTTTACAAAAGTCTGGGAACTAGAGAGTGTACCAACGTCATGGAATGAGTCGATAGTTGTCCCTATCTTTAAAAAGGGTTCACGTCGTTCCTGCAACAACTATCGGGGGATAAGAATACCTCCGATTGCGTCCAAGCTATTGGCTTCCGTCATACTTCGTAGGTTGTGCAAAACCCGACAAAGATTGACTCGCGAGGAGCAGGCTGGGTTTCGTCCTGGTCGATGTGCCGATGTGCCACCTGGTGTCCTCCCTCAGCATCCCAAGCCTGGACTCAGATTGATCACAGCGTAACCAGCTACCGCTGGCATGGTTGTGTAAAAGACTGCCGCTCCTTTTGGAGTACCTATCTGGACTCTGACCATGCCTTGGTCTGCGCCAATCTTGCCTTACTTTTCAGTGGACGACGAAGTAACCGCCAGCAAAGGATTGATATTAGCAAGCTGGTTGCAACTTCTGTTGCAAATAAGTATCGAACCGAGCTAGCCTCTAGGCTAGCTACCACTCCACCGAAAAGTATAGATGAGCATTGGTTGCATTGGCATGACGCCATGAAAATGGCGGGTACAGTCAGTTGTGGATTTTCGAAACGTCCCGCTTATAAGCACTGGGTTTCTTCTGGTTCCTTACAACTTGTTGTAGCCCGTCGGTCTACTCCGGGTGACCGTGAGTTTGACCATAAACGAAGGATGTTACGTAAGGAAATTGGGCAAAGCTTGCGAAAGGACCGAGAAGCCTGGTGGTCGGAGCGTTCTAATGAGCTGGAAGTAGCAGCTGCATCTGGTAACTACCGGAAGCTCTTCCAGCTCAACCGACCCAAGATGTCTAGTATGAGTGAAACAATCTGCGAGGATGACGAGATGCTAATTACCAACATCCATCGACGTCTTGGACGATGGGCAGAATTTTTCGAAGGGCAAGTCAACTGGCCTGCTGCTACGGCAACATCGGTCAGACTGTCCTACCCTTCATGGCCGGTGACGACTGATCCACCAAATGAGGAGGAAGTCCGAAAGGAACTCCAACTCTTGAAGCGCTACAAATCACCTGGCCCAGATGACTTACCTCCGGCTCTTTTCAAAGATGATGGTGACTTTCTGACTAAGGAACTGACGACGTTGTTTACAAAAGTCTGGGAACTAGAGAGTGTACCAACGTCATGGAATGAGTCGATAGTTGTCCCTATCTTTAAAAAGGGTTCACGTCGTTCCTGCAACAACTATCGGGGGATAAGAATACCTCCGATTGCGTCCAAGCTATTGGCTTCCGTCATACTTCGTAGGTTGTGCAAAACCCGACAAAGATTGACTCGCGAGGAGCAGGCTGGGTTTCGTCCTGGTCGATGTGCCGATGTGCCACCTGGTGTCCTCCCTCAGCATCCCAAGCCTGGACTCAGATTGATCACAGCGTAACCAGCTACCGCTGGCATGGTTGTGTAAAAGACTGCCGCTCCTTTTGGAGTACCTATCTGGACTCTGACCATGCCTTGGTCTGCGCCAATCTTGCCTTACTTTTCAGTGGACGACGAAGTAACCGCCAGCAAAGGATTGATATTAGCAAGCTGGTTGCAACTTCTGTTGCAAATAAGTATCGAACCGAGCTAGCCTCTAGGCTAGCTACCACTCCACCGAAAAGTATAGATGAGCATTGGTTGCATTGGCATGACGCCATGAAAATGGCGGGTACAGTCAGTTGTGGATTTTCGAAACGTCCCGCTTATAAGCACTGGGTTTCTTCTGGTTCCTTACAACTTGTTGTAGCCCGTCGGTCTACTCCGGGTGACCGTGAGTTTGACCATAAACGAAGGATGTTACGTAAGGAAATTGGGCAAAGCTTGCGAAAGGACCGAGAAGCCTGGTGGTCGGAGCGTTCTAATGAGCTGGAAGTAGCAGCTGCATCTGGTAACTACCGGAAGCTCTTCCAGCTCAACCGACCCAAGATGTCTAGTATGAGTGAAACAATCTGCGAGGATGACGAGATGCTAATTACCAACATCCATCGACGTCTTGGACGATGGGCAGAATTTTTCGAAGGGCAAGTCAACTGGCCTGCTGCTACGGCAACATCGGTCAGACTGTCCTACCCTTCATGGCCGGTGACGACTGATCCACCAAATGAGGAGGAAGTCCGCAAGGAACTCCAAATCTTGAAGCGTTACAAATCACCTGGCCCAGATGACTTACTTCCGGCTCTTTTTAAAGATGGTGGTGACTTTTTGACTGAGGAATTGACGACGTTGTTTACAAAGGTCTGGGTGTTAGAGAGTGTACCAACGTCATGGAATGAGTCGATAGTTATCCTTATCTTTAAAAAGGGTTCACGTCGTTCCTGCAACAACTATCGGGGGATAAGAATACCTCCGATTGCGTCCAAGCTATTGGCTTCCGTCATACTTCGTAGGTTGTTCAAAACCCGACAAAGATTGACTCGCGAGGAGCAGGCAGGGTTTCGTTCTGTTCGAGGATGTATCGATCATATCTTCATCCTCCGCCAAATGTTAGAACACTGCCATACTTATCAGAGGCCAACAATAGTAGTGTTTCTTGACATCAGGGCTGCCTTCGATTCGTTGGACAGGACTGTTTTCTGGGATTGTCTATTGAAAAACGGTGTGCCTGAGAAGTTTATTAACATCCTAAAAGCCCTATATAAAAACACCTCAGGCAGAGTGAGGGCATACAACCACCTCTCTCCGTTGTTCCATTCGAGTAGTGGGGTTAGGCAAGGTTGCCCAGTCTCGCCATTCCTCTTCAACTTTACCATTGATGACATTCTAGAAACAGCTCTGACGAACGTAAGTAATGGTGGTGTGGATCTGTTGCCTGGAGAAAGACTTCTCAACCTTGAGTATGCGGACGATATTGTCTTACTGTGCGATAATGCCCAAGGCATGCAATCCGCACTTAATCAGCTGGCAATCAGTGTCCGTAGGTATGGTATGTGCTTTGCACCTTCGAAGTGCAAAGTACTTCTACAAGACTGGCAGGATTCCAATCCTGTACTCACCCTGGATGGTGAGCAGATAAAAGTAGTCGAGAAGTTCGTGTATCTGGGTAGCTGCATAAGTGCTGGTGGGGGTGTGAGTGATGAGATCAATGCACGTATAGTGAAAGCCAGAGCGGATTATGCCAATCTGGGCCACCTTTGGCGCCTTCGTGATGTTAGTCTGGCTGTAAAAGGTCGGATCTACAACGCGTCGGTGAGAGCAGTTTTGCTCTATGGTTGTGAAACCTGGCCTCTCCGAGTTGAGGACGTTAGATGACTCTCTGTGTTCGATCATCGCTGTCTCCGAAGGATTGCTGACATTCAGTGGCAACACCATGTCAGTAATGCAGAGGTTCGGCATCGTGTGTTTGGGCACAGAGATGATAATTCAATTGGTGTCACCATCTTGAAACACCGACTTCGGTGGCTTGGACATGTTCTACGAATGTCGTCCCAGAGAATTCCACGTCGTGCATTATTTGCCGACTCTGGGACTGGTTGGAAAAAGCGGAGAGGTGGTCATAGTACGACATGGTGTCGTGGTATGGCAGAAAGCTGCAAAGGACTGGCTTGTGTCGGGCCTTCACGACTCCCTGGTTGGGGTCTGAGAGATGGTGCTACACAGTGGCTAGAGACGTTATCAGATATGGCTTAGAATAGAAGCCAGTGGCGATCCTGCTGTAACCTTCTTTTACTTTCTTCATAAAAAGTGGTTGTGTCTCCCTTACTTGAAAGATTTCTTCTGATTGTACCTTTCCGTTCCCTCGTTACTACCACACTACCTTACACCAATCTCTTCGTTATCGTTCTCTTTTTCTTTTGTGCTCCTTAGTTTTTTTTTCCTATCTCTCTTCGAATTTCCATTGTTTTGTGTGGCGCATATATATTGGCGTTCCCTTGTACCAATATTTATGTGTTCAAATAAAATAATAATAAAAATAATAAGTGTTACATACTACTTATATCGATAGATATAAGTAGCATGCATCACAAAAGCTTAAAATAATTCAACGTAGGCACAGCTGCATCAGTTTACTTTGTATTTCATAAAATCAAGCATAAACTCTATGTTCATGTGCGAAATCTCGCGGGGAGGCGGGATTGTCGATGCGCACTGCTGAGGAGTCCCATACTAGGACGAGATGGCCGTCTAGTTCTTCCAGGTTTTCCATGGTGGTCTAGCCTCAACTGACTCATGATTTCAACCAGTGAATTTATTTTTTCACTAGAGATAAAAAAACATGGATAAAATTAATTTAATGATTATCCATTAACTGTTTGTATGAATTGCTTAGGTTCATCCAATATTTACTGACATCTTTTCTCATTCTATTTAGCTATATAAAAATAATTAATAGACTGCAAAGACTTACTTGTATCCCATAAATTGTTGCTCTACGTTTATGCCAGCTGAAACTGGTCCATGTTCATATAAAACATATTTCAACTGTTCTTCATCATTGAGTTTAATCTCTATAATTGATTTAGAGTAGGTTAATGATGATGATTTAATATGTTGACATTTACCTTCCTAAAATATGAATAACAAAATAACATTATATATTTATTCTAAATTCATTTCGTATAAGATGTTTATGATATGCATTTACGAGATCTTCAAATACAAACCAACCAAATGAGCAGTGAAATGATTTTTCATAATTCAAAATTACCACAATAACTGTGCATTAGTCAAAATTATATAATTTTTTGCCAAACTATTCATTCAAATATTGATCAATATTCTTAATAACCATTTGTTAGTTTTAGAAATCTGTATAGCAGTATGCCAAACTGTCACTTACAAATGTCGTCCCAGAGAATTCCACGTCGTGCATTATTTGCCGACTCTGCGACTGGTTGGAAAAAGCGGAGAAGTGGTCAATGTATGACATGGTGTTGTGGTATGAAAGAAATCTGCAAACGGGCTGGCTTGTGTTTGTCCTTCACGACTTTCTGGCCGGGGTCTGAGAGATGGTGCTACGCAGTGGCTAGAGACGTTTTCAGATATGGCTCAGAATAGAAGCCAGTGGCGATCCTGCTGTAACCTTTTACTTTCTTCATAAAAAGTGGTTGCTTCTTCCTTAAATGAAAGATTTCTTCTGATTGTAGCTTTTCGTTTCCCCCATTATTGTTATTATTATTACGCTACCTTACTTATTCTGTTCGTTATTGTTCTTTTTTTACGCTTCTCACCTTTTTTCCTTCTCCTCTTCAAATTCCCATATATATATGTTCAAATAATAATAATACACTTGCATAAAAAAGGTAGTTGCTTGATAAATCATAAGATGTTTATGCTTTGGTAAAGTATAAGACTTGGCTAGATGAGAAGTGAAGACGAATATACTGATGCAAGGGAATGTAATTGTATTTAAGTGGTGGAAACGTGTTTATCTAGTTAGATTGTGTGATCATCTTGTTATGTTGTGCTTCGCTAACCAACAGCTGTCCATTTAATAAACTACTTACTTGGCTGGGAAAATGAGTTTCTATATAAAAGATTAAGGTTGAATTTCGAACAAGTATTTAATTATTTTTCACGGTAAATTGATACAAAGCAATTAGACTAACACGAAAACCAAGCACTTCACTGATATGTGTAGGCTCTGAGTAACAGGAATAATTTTAATACTTATCAGGTAAAGACATAAAATTTGGTCAGTTTTGCATAACTTTGTAACCGATTTATATTTAAGAGGTGAAATATACAAAGACTGTGGTACCACACGAAATGAAGACTAATATATATATCTGGTTGGTTGAAGTGTAAACGATTCACTTTCGAAATTACTTCAAAATATGTCTGATCTCTACCAGAAATTCACTCAAATCGAATGTCTTGAATGACTAAATTCAATGAGGCAAAAACACTGATCTACATTTCGTAGTCGATGGTAGTATAGTTTAAGACGCTTTTAGAACGTGAATGCGACTTCTTCTTCTGGAATTGAAATTTATCACTGAAGCTTTAAAGTTTAAATTAAATGTCAAAAATGTATCAGTAATAGAAAGATTATTTGCTGAGAATAATAAACCCAGTTCCATTTCGTTTTAATAATAGCTGATAGAAAATAATTTTCAGTATGGGGGTTGTGGAGATTGTTAAGTTTTTGGTTGAGATCATGAATCAATTGATGTTAGACCACCGTTGGAAACCTGGAAGCACTGGACGGCCGTTTCGTCCTAGTATGGGACTCCTCAGCAGTGCGCATCCACGATCTCGCACCACGCGGGATTCGAACCCAGGACCTACTGGCTTCGCGCCTGAGCACTTAACCATAATTTCATATCCCTGATATGGTTCATTTCAATTCACGACGTTTCCCAATATTTATTTTATAATGGAATCTAATTTAACTCATTATTTTTCTATAAATCTACTTGAAAAATATAAATTCATTATTTAAATGTATCGCTCAGTGGAATAATATTGTTATGCTTATATTGTGTGAGTAAAAAGCTAATTTAGATAAAGTGAAATGGTAGGAAATAGTTCCAAACATAGAATTACAGTAATTTTACAGTAGTTAATGCGGAGTCAAAGGCTTATAATGAAAAGCGTTGCCGAAATGATACAATCGTAGTTGTTGTATGAAATTGAAAATAAGATATGTAACAGATAGCAAACTAACTTTTCATCTTAACCTCGGCATATTGTTAGAGCATGCAATGCTTATGGGGATTCTTCAGTATTACTTGTAGTTTCATTTATTTTATGATTATACTTTTTGGATCATTGTTGAGAATAGCCTTTGAAGGGCTATATATATGATGGGTTTGTCAAGGCACTTGAAAGTATTTTGGTCGGTGTGACTTTTAAGGTAGATAATGGTCTTCAAGTTGTTACTTACTTGATGTTATACTGATATGCTGAGGTCATCTGGACGAATATTAGTTACAACTTGGGCAAGTGAGTTGAATGTGTATTAGTATACTGTCGACTAACCAAATTTTATATCGGAGAGATGGCCATCGCTTTTAAGCAGGGATGGATGGTATTTAGCAATGGGGTCCAAGACACATGCCTTATTCTATTTGGGACTTTTCAGACGGATGTATCTCTATCCTTAGGCCAATGTTCACTCTGACAATCAAACCCAGTACGTTCGCTTCACTCCACCGCAAAAGCAACTGGCACTATGGACTCAGTAGTTAAGTGGATAACGCGATGACATTTGAAGCGAATGATACTTGGTACGAGTATCGAAGTGAACATCTGCCCGTATACAAGTACTTCCAGCTGACGAGTTCCAAACAAGACGAAACGTGCGACCTAGATTCCACTGTTAGCCAACATCTATCTTTGCTTTTAATGCTTGTGACTTTCACCAATATCAAGGTAATCCGTACAAGCTGCACATATGACAATAATAGTCTGATCAATTTCAGTCCTTAACATAAAACAACCAATACAAAAATTGAATTAAAACTGTACATTTATTTCAACAACAACAAAAAAATAAAGTTAAAACATTGCCCTCATTAAGAGTTTTTCAAAGTTTACATTGACTATTAAACAAAGTACTTTGAAATAAGTTATTTTTGGAATTATTAACATGAAAATAGATTTATTAAGATTATATCCTATTCAGTACATGTTTTATATGAATATAGGCGTGACCTATTTATTACCTATTTACTACCAAGAAGAAAAAACATTACAAAATGAAATCATGGTTATACTAGATGGTAGTTGTTTAATCTGGATATATTTTATTTATTTTATTATTATTAAAAGCTTTATTCAACATTATACGTTTTTGGTACAACATAGAATTCTCAGCATAAAGTATTTCAGCAAGTTTCCTTTTCTTATACCTTGATCTAATGTGACGATAAATTTTGAATGATGACCAGTTAGATGTTAGGAGTTCAGTAATCCACATTAGATTAATGTTCATTCGTTTCAATGCATATTGCCAGCCACCAGGATGTCGCTGATTATACGTTTTTGTATCCCGTATAGCGAAAGGTTGTAAACTTTTCATAAACGCGCCTGAATAGATTGTGCGCACAATAGACATAATGATGTGCCAAAACAAACAACAAAACAAATAACTTGATGGAATATCTAGATCGGAGGAACAGGTAGCCCAGATATTCAAGCAGGCCGCCTTTGATAGATATATGAGTTTTAATAAATACTAGTAGAACTCTGATTTTAGAATTTGATGTTATAAGTAGTATGTTTAACAATAATAATAATGATTAAAGTAATGAAAGGAACTATATAGTATATCGAGATGGTGGAGAAGATTTATAACTCAGGTGAGCGAAACACCATAGTATTTTATTTTATCATTGATTTACTTAGAATAAAATGTAAACACTAGTTAAATGCTGAGTTACACAAACATAATAAAAATTCTTAATTTGTATTATTATACTAAAATGTAGAATTAAGAAATAAATTTAAATTGACTACTGTTGCTGGACCACATCTATATAGAATAGTAAAAAGGAAATCGGATGTGTAAAATAAATTTTCGAACTCAGTTTTATGTAGTATGTCCTCACCAATCAGGTAAGAGTTCCATAATCAATAGAATGAAGAAAAAAGATTAATTCATAAATTAATAACTAGATGAGTAACTATGACTTTCTTAAGGTAGCTAAATACCTCGTCATCTAAGGTTTTTCGGGAGGGAACTTATGAACGACGAATTTTAGAGTTTATACATACCTTGAACCCTAGATCCTCATGAGTGATGTGTGCATTTATTACAACTCTGGACAATTGATTTACAGTACGTAGTTCTTTAGAGGATGACAGTGGCTGTGGCGGCTAACTCATCGTCCTTCTTGCCAGGCACGTGGTTTCCTTGTAATGTTGTCGATGCCCTGTAACAAAAAGGGTCTTAAATTAAGCTGTTATGTATACGGGTTGTGCTTGCCGTAGAAATGTATATGAGTGCTTTCGGCTATATTTGACTTCTACTCACCTGCATTGGTTTATTGGGCTGTTGTGGTTTGGATTCTAAACCGGAGTATGGTGGCCACCCCGTCAGGCTGGGAAAGTGAAGTTGGCGTCATGGTGACATGTGAATTCTAGAGTCTCCTCTTGTGGCTAGATAGATCCTCTGGTTTTATTTGGATGCTTGAGCGATTCAGCTGGTTTCACAAAGATGGTGGGGACTATAGGCTGTCGGCTGCTATGACAAACGGCTAGTGCGTGGCTCGGCTACCTATGCCGGATTTTAGAAGTGGCTAGACTCTCGTTCTTTGCTGCCGTTAACGATTGGAATGTGGACAGTGGTTTGGTTCGGAGAGATCTGGTTGGCTCTCAAGGCACCCGGATACGGATGCTTCTTTGCCTGATCTCCGATATGATATACGGTAGTCATAAGGACAAAACCACTCAACATATATCTTCCTTACAGTGAGGGGGAGCTCGAGCAACTGGAACACCGTGTAACTTCTTGTGTTGTTAAAATGAAAGTGATAGTAGTCATTACGTAACACGAATAACGGGGTTATCATATTAATAGCGACAATAATTCAGTTAAGATATACTAATGACATTTGATC